ATGTCAACCAAAATATACATCTACATTTAGAACATGTACAGAAGGCATTTCATACTTACACCTTTGATCTTTATTCTAAATCTTTCTTTCTTTTTTAAATTTTCTTTTCTTTTCTTTTTTCCTAACCTTTTAGGGCATCATGGTTGATGTCAGCTTTGTAAGGAACCCCCCACCCCCACCCCTGATCGACTTTTGTCAGCTTTCCCGTGACCTCATCCCTCTCACCCTCTGGGCTGACGTCCTTAATTTTAGGCTGATCAGCATCACGATCACGCTTTTCTTTCCTCTTGCTTTGTCAACTTCGACACTGCACAAAACGCACTGCGGCTGGTTTTGAGACGCATCGTCGCACATTACCTTATAGTATAGTATAGAATCTAGTGTGTGCAAGTTGTGAGATGTAAGGCACCCTAACTTCCTTCTCCCTTGAATCTAGACATTTGAGTGCGGGTGCTGGGTGGTGGGGTGGAATCTAGGGCTAGGATTGCCGGCTTAATTTGATACCCGGGTAATACCCTGGTAATGAAAAAAATACCCGAGTACCCGTCGGGTAGGCCTACCCGTAAAATCTGAGTCGAAGACAGTGTGGCGTTGTGTTGAGCCGTATGGTGTGTGAATTATGTTTGGGTTTGTGTGCGTGTGCGTGTGTTTGTGTGTGTGTGTTTGTGTGTGTGTGTGTTTGTGTGTGTGTGTGTGTGTCCTTTACTACAGTGAAACTCGGTTAAATTTATAACAAAGTCCTCGGGTCCGACTTCCAAGTTCGTTGAATACGAGTGGTCGTTATTAAAAACGGTGTAAATGATAGGAACAGCATTCTGTGAACGAATGTGTCTCCCAAGAATATAAAGGGACAGAACCAATGATGGCGTAAAGAGCATCCGTTTATAATATTTATATAATATAACTACATTGTATATGAGTGATTGCCTTCTTTGACAGACCCCGCGTGACCAACAGCGTCTGGCTGTCGCAAGATTCACCTCTTGCTGTCTTTCTTTAGATTAGTTTTGTGTTTTGTTTTTCTCACATGAACCTCACAAAACCCCGTCTGCCAGCTGGAGCTAACCAGCGTCTGTGATGTAGCGGTAAGGCACTTCCCTGTTGGGCGAGGAGCCCCAGGTTCGATTTCTGAGTGTGGAGAAATTTGTTATCGAGTGTCTCGGTGTTTCCGCTGGGATGTACCTCTTTCATCTCAGGCAGGGTCAATAGCCCGCCTCCTAAATGATGTTCTAAATGGTGTCGATGGGGGCGTGAAAATACCTACATTTAGAAAAAAAATTGAAAATCTAGTGCTTGGGGGGGGGGGGGGGGGGGGGGGGGGCGTTATACATATGCCTAAATCCTGTACATTCCCAGGTTTTCCCTGACAGGCAAAATCAAAACAGCTTGCCTGCTAAAATATACCAAAAGTTTCAATAACTTAACACAAATACGTAGCCTCGTATTTGCCCTGATTTTTCTAGCTCGCTACTCGTGGGAATTATTGGAGCACCCGATTACCCTGTCAAAGAAATCAACCTTCGCCCTTGTTGAGCAGCAAAATAGAATGTCCCTGATATAGCGCCGATCTGCATTCCAGATCACATTTCTGGGTGAGAACATGATTAGCAGAGAGAGAGAGAGAGAGAGAGAGAGAGAGAGAGAGAGAGAGAGACAGAGA